GTCTGTTCTGCAACGCGAATGGTTCTGGTGGTAAACGAGGACAAGACGAAGTATCTCACGTCATCAAACAAACAGTCAGCACATTCGCGCCTTGGCACCCACGTCACTGTTTACAGTTATAATTCCGAGAAAGTGGAGGATTTCCTTTACTTGGGAACCAGCATTAACACCGATAATAATGTCAGCATGGAAATCCAACGCAGAGTCACTCTTGCCAACAAGTGCTACTATGGACTGAGTAGGCAAATCAGGAGTAAAGTCCTCTCTCGACGTACGAAAACCACACTCTATAAGTCATTCATCATGCCCGTGCTGGTATATGGCGCAGAAGCATGGACAGTGACAACATCCGATGAGGCGGCTCTTGGAATATTCGAGAGAAAGATTTTGCGGAAGATTTACGGGCCTTTACGCGTTGGCGACGGCGAGTACCGCAGACGATGGAACGATGAGCTGTATGAGCTTTACAACGACATGGACATAGTGCCACGAATTAAAATACAGCGGCTCTGCTGGCTTGGCCATGTCGTTCGAATGGACACTGACGCTCCAGCTCTGAAAGTATTCAGCTCGGAACCCGTTGGTGGGAGTGGAGGCCCCCACTGCGATGTAAAGACCAGGTGGAGAAGGACTTGGCTTCACTTGGCATTTCCAATTGGCGTCAGTTGGCACAGCAAAGAGACGACTGAGCGTGCTTTGTTGAACTCGGCTAAATTCGCTTGGGAGGTGACAGTGTCAAATAAGAAGAAGATGAAGGGCGTTTTTGAACCGAATTCTGAGATAGGGCGCTCTTCAACCATATTCGGATATAGGGTATTTTTCGCTAAAATTCCGAAGTACGGCGCTCTTGAAAAGTTTTCTGAGATAGGGCGTTTTCGAATTGGCTCCCGAGATAGGTCGATCTTCCACTCAGGTGACGACATACAAATTTAAGAGTACCGTTGGTTTCTTCAGTGTAGTGTCTTCAGTTTCGGATCTAATTAATATGTGACCACTCTGAGGTGCCACCTCGCCTTTAAACAATTAATTATAGAAATAAGTTAACGGTAACATACATAAAAATCAAAAACACATTCAACATTTGAAAACACATTTACATGTATGGCTGTAGCTGAGTGTGCAAAGACGCTTGTGATACAATTGGTTGCTGCCAAGAGGGTGCGGGTTCAATTACCATCAAGACGGAACATTAAATTAATTTTTTTTTTTCTTAATTACGAAAAAGCATCTGCGCACTCCACTACGACATATATCATTATATGCGTGTCTTTTTATTAAATTATGCAGGTTTTTTTTGTTTAGTTCTAAAATTTTTTTTCCCTCAGTGTACAATAACGATAATTTTCCCTTATGAATTTTCAATGCTTCATTACTTCAGCAACCAAGTGAAAAGTGTAAAAAAGTGAGACGAGATTTATTTCAAAAGTTTTAATGTGTTCGGATGTTTATATAATATTAATATGGACTTGGTTACGCCAATTTGATCAGATTTCAAAATCATGGGAATGAAGTCAAACATGTATTGTCCAAGAATAGAAATCTTTAATAAGATAAGTTAATAGTAGTTTCAAGCACATAAGTACATACATTAACAAAACACAATTGGAGTGAGAAATGCCAATTTTAAGTCCATTTATGCAGTCTTGAAAATTGGAGCGAAATGGTTTCATTAGTCACTGAAGAAGCACATTTTTCGCGGTTTCTAAATTTGACGTTATGTGAAAGTAGATGACGTGCAATAAGTTTTTAGATATAAGTATTTTAGTTTAGTCACTGTAGGTAAATTTAATAGTCTTTATTTAACATATTCTGTGCAATCCTTTTGAGGACTGTCCAATTGGACAATATTGCTTTGCATTTAGTCACTCCCTGGAACACTTTTCTGTAATCAAGTTCTGTTATCTAAAAGTTATTTATACAACTGAAGAGACATTTTTGTGGAAAAAAACTAGAGATCCACCTAAGTCTTTCGGTATAACTTTGGCAAATATGACTTGATCGGTACGTGATAATTACCAAACTGAAGGTGAGACTTACTATTACTGATTTATAATAAAATATGATGAAAATCGTTCAGTTTATAAAAAAATTAAAAAAAAATGTTTTTTTGTCAATTTCCTTTCATTGCAATTTTTGTACTTAT